AAATATTTAATAAGTAGGTTATAGAAAAAAATTTTCTTAAAAAATAAATAATTATTATAGTTTTTTAATTTATAAAAAAATATTTATAAAATATATCTTTAAATGATAAATTTACAAACATAGAAAATTATTGAAAAAATAAAATTATTTCAAATATATTAAAAAATTATCCAATGCTTTAACTATTTCGCTTTTGAGTCATTGTATTTTTCTTGAATAGATCTTGAATAATTAAAGTATTATTATATATTTAACTTTATGAAATATAAATAAATAAGTAATTTTTAATCATTAAATGAAAAGAATATAAATAATTCGTGAAAATATTCATGAAAAAAATTTAATTCTCAAACATTTTCAATTGTTTCTGGTCTTATAATTGAAAGTAAAATTGATATCGGAAAGTGAATCGTTAAAAAATTTTAATGCAGATACTCAATAAGCAATGATTCGAGTTATTTGATTTAAATTAGTGATAATTTATAGTTTGCCGATAAAAAATAAAGAAAAAATATTATCTTATAAGCTAAAAATACAATACATGTTTTAAGCTTATCAAAAATCAGGTTTTCCCCAGATAACGGATTATAGACTGAATTTTGATTTATTCTTATTAAAAAAAATTATTCTTATTATAAAATTCTTATTATAAAAAATTTGGTTAGAATTGCGAAGTTATTGATAAATTTTTTATATGCTAATTCATAAATAAATTGAATACATATAATATCAAAATTTCAATAATCGTTTTACACAAATTACAAACAAAAAATTAAATATTTATGTAATGTTCTACTCATTAATAACGAATAATTATGTAATTTATTTATCATCAGATTAAAGATTAAAATTATTGTTTATAGGTATGTTTTTAACCTTCTTTCACTGTATAATCATCTCATTTACCTAACATGTTTCAATCATTTTCTTATTGTAATCATTCTTGTATAATCATTCAAATTATAATATAATATATACATCGATTATAATCTGGAATTATAACTATGTAAGCTGTCATATAATAATAATAATACGGATATGGATTTCTTTTGTTTTAATGATTGAATATATTGAATATCATTATCTTTGAGGAAAAACATATTTAATGACCATAAATAGGACCAAGGTTTGTTTTCAAAGTTTCGAGATCACTGTATTAACTTATCTAATCGTTATATCGTAACGTATTAACTGTCGAGATTATCCGTAAATATCAGTAAAGTTTCCAAATCGGAAGTATCAACGGAATTCCCAATGAATTCTCATATAAATTATTCGAAAAGAAAGTAGAACAGTGAAAACTTCATTTCTCTATAGAAAGGTAGAAATGTGTTTGAAATAATCGTGACAAAGAAATACTTTCTCATCGAGCTTTAAATACTTGATAAAGTTTAATTCAAATTCATAATAATCTATATATTTAAATAAAAATTCATTAACATTTGCATTCAATTAGCATTAGAAATTTTTTTATGATCAATTAAAAACAAAAAACATAAGAAATAGAAAAAATAAGATCGATTATAAAAAGAAAATAAATGATTTCATAGAAAATGCACAAGCTTAAAAAATTTCTTATAGTTTATTGAATATTGTAAAAAATTTTAACATTGTATCTACTTTTTATTTAATTCTTCTTTAGATTTTTTAAAAAAATGAAATAATTTATCGAATATTTTTATGTAATAATTATTTGAGTCAAATAAAATGATAGATATAAATCAATAAATGAAAGATATTTATTAAGAGTTCTCAATTCAATTTTTTTATTCTAATTCATTATTTAAAGAATGCTAAGTTAAAATAAGTACGCAATATATACGTGCAGTTGTCCCTGTTAGAGGATGATGGGTTTTCCCACCCCTACCTTTCCCCTTTAAAAGCTAATAAGCCATCTATCCGCTAGAGGTTCTACTGTGCATTATGGCCATTATTGTGGAAGTTAATCAGCGCATCATCTAACGTTACATAGTTAGTTCGTTTTCAGATAGCATGTGTAGTGGTATTTTAATACAATTATTGAAAATATATATATAGTTTTAGTTTTTCCTCTACTTTTTTCATCCATAACATAAACTCTTATTTACATAACCTTTTTTGTCAAATGAATTTTCATATTTAAAACTCATTTCCTCATAACATGAAGTTATTGTGATATAATATACTAGTTGCTAATATTTGCGAATCTAGTCAAAACGAGAAAGTGACAATAATAAGAAACAATAATAAGAACACAAATAAAGAAACCAGCTGTTAAAACGAACGACAATCGTATGATTGATCCAATAAATGAAATAGTAAATGAAGTAATCATTTGTAAATTAACGAAAAACAAAACAATAATAAATAGTTCTTGTTCAGTGGAAGAAGAATCGAACAAAATCAAAAAGTTAATTAATTATTCGCTTAAAAACTGCATAAAAATATTATATTAAGAGGAACGTATATACGCACAGTGCTTTACTTACTACTTTATCTGTGTATGTAGAATCATATAATATTATTTTGACGTGTGAGAAAAAAATCGATTTTTTTGCACGAGTTGAATATCGAAATCAAAAATGTGGAATTCAAGAACGACACCAATGGAAAGCAATGTTCCAGAGAATGAGCAACAGAAGTTCGAAAAACAACATAATTCGGGCCACTCTGATTCCGGATTTTTATCCAGTGGAAATCTCCAAATCAGTTCAGAGCTACACGATCACGAATTGAATATTGCAACCGCACCTGTTGTTCCGGAACCAATGAGAATAGATAGTGGTGTGGATCTTGACTCAAGCGAAAACTTGAGCCAATTTACATTAAAAAAAGTTACATTAAATCTTCTAACGAGCAATAAAGTTCAAGTTGAACCTACTATCGAATTGACTCCAGTAAATACCGACAAACTTGAATTGAAGAATGATGTTTCAACATTGCGACATGAATCGCATCAATCTTCTGAGAAATCGCTCAGTGATAAATCTTGGCAATTCTACTATACACAAAATGATGATGGAGACACGTAAGTAATTTATATATGCTCTTTTTCTTTTAAAATAATACAATTATTCGAATTTTGCATGAGTCATTTTACATAATAAAGAAGATGTCATTTTTTTAAAATTTTTATATATATATATATAACTATGATATGACTAAATAGTCATTAATAGCAAAATAAAGTAATAAATAATTTGATGTTTGGTTAAATTTTATTTTATGATATTATTTTTTAATTTTTTTGTGTCTTTTACGTAATATCTATAAATATCTATAAATATCAGCATAGAAAATTGAATTGTTCAAAAATAATATATATCTAAAAGTGTTTTTCGCATAATATTCGAGCTTTGATTCAATTTTGACGCCATATTGACTTTATGTATAGTCTGTTCAATTAATTAAATCAATGGATGTAAACAAATACACGTGGGTGAATCATTTAAGCGAGTCAAAATTCGGCTGATTTGATTTATGATATACATTTTGTTTATTCTTATGATTAAATGTAAGACTGATTTAGATTATGATTAAATTTTAGTTAATAATTTAGTTTATAATTAAATATTTTAAAATGTCTTAAAGTAAATTTAATATTACCAATATATATTAATTAATAATATAGTAATAATAATAACATTTTTGAAAAACAATGAATATTAAATGATGTATGATGAAATAACTTGATAATTTATGTAATTTTTATAAAAGAACAGATCTTTATATTTTATTAATTAATATGACAAGTCTTATTCATTGTTTGTAAATTCATATATATATAAATTTTCATAAAAATATTGTAAAAGTCAAAAAACTGAATAAACAATTAAAATTTGATTATATCATCATTTTAAGTTAAATAATATTGCATGACAAATATTATCAAGTACAATTATGAGTTTTTTAAAGCATAATTATGATTAAAGAAAATGTCATATGTAATTATATGCATGCATAAATTGATCAATCATTTTATATTAAAAAAAACATTGAAATGCTATAATTGTGAAATGTTTTTAACTATATTAATTTACTAGACTATCAAACTATGAAACTAATACATTTTTTAGAAAACATTTTCAGAAAATTAAATTTTTTTATAATATAACAAACAATAAATAGTATGATCTTATGATGTCGTTACAAATAAAAAATTTTATTTACTCGTCTATTTAATAGTATTGACAATTATATAAAAATAACAAAATTATACAAAATTAAAAAAAAAATCATAATGAATGAAATAATTCGTTGAAAATATTTGTTGTTTTAAAGAATAATCAATATCATATCTTGATCAATGTCATAACTACTACTAAACTGGTAGAAAATTATAACATATGTTTTTTTGTCTTTATAATAATGTTATTCGTAAATTAATAATTTGTTTCTTTTTTTATCATCTCAGGTTACTTCATATGGCCATAATACAAGGTTATATAGAAGCTACATTCAACTTGATAAAAATGGCACCACATTCATGCCTTTTAAATATTCAAAATGATGATGGTCAGACACCTTTACATTTGGCTGTATTAACACAACAATCAAAAATCGTTAGGCGATTAATTCTGGCAGGTGCAAATCCATCACTGAGAAGTTTTCGTGGAAATACACCGCTTCATCTAGCATGTACGATTGGTGATCTTGCCTCGGTAAAAGCCCTCATTGATCCAATAAATTCTATAGAAAATAATTACTTTCTTGCTGGGAAAAAAATACAAATTCTATCACAAGATCTGGAGCAACGAAATTATAATGGTAATTGATTGATTTATAATTATAAAAAAACTTTGAAGATATAATTCTTATAATCCTTATTAAAATAATATTCTTATTAAAGAAATAATAAAAAAGAGTGTATATAACACTATGTTTTTGAAAAAGGAAAGAAATAATATGCATGTAATATTGCTTGCAGAAAAAATAAAGTATGTCGGAAAATTCTAACAACTTTTTACCATATGAAACAACAGTCATTGGCATAGCACTCGCGCACGCGTAGCATGAAAAACAATCCTGTAACCGTGATTATGCGCGGGTTTCCCATGATTTCATCGAGAATCGAGAATCATCCGTTATTTCAATTGTTTTGTTCGGAAATTCCGTGAAGTCAAAGTACAATACATTCGACGATTCATTTTGTTTTTATTCATTTACTTTAAAAAAAAAATAATAATAATAAGATCTTTTGAGAACATCTGAATTTCCGAATAATCTTCATGTGATTTATAATTTAAAAGTAATTTTTTTTTGGACACTATTCAAATGATAATTTGCATATATTAAAGGAAAATTAAGTTAAATATCTTTTCTATTTTTTTTTCATTCGTTATATTTTTTGCAATTTTATATATAATATAAATGATCAGTTAGATACTGAACATTAAGTCATTTACAAAATCCTGGAATTCCCACATAACGTCATCCTTACACTCCATTCTGACTTATACATTTTATAGTTATTTATGAAATGGTTGGCGTAACGGTTGATTTTGAATTACGAAATAAAGTTTTTGCTTCAGAATAATTTTGATAGATTTATCGGCTTACTTCGTAAATTGTATCATATCAAACTTAAAAATGATTTAAATTATAAAATAAAATATAATTTAAATTTTGATAATGAAAATTATACGCTTGAATTTATAAATTTAGATTAAAAAGAAACGAGATATATGATTTTAAAACATATATAATCTAATAGTAGAATGTCATTTAATTTCGAAGAAAGAAAATCAATTATATTTATTCGATCAATATCGAATAAATATTCGAATAATAAAAAATACTTAGATGTCATATTATTTATTTTTTTTCTTATCTGATACAATATATATCGTGTATATGTCTGTATATTTAATAAGAATAAAAATAAATATTTGCATAATAGATATATAAAATTTTTTGTTGCGAAATGCTTTCAATTATAATAAAATTAATAATTATATAATTAAATATTACATATTTTTAGTATTTTTTTTGATTAATATAAATTTTTTTTAAATCAAATTTCATTATTTGAACTAATAGATTTCTAATTAAATCATTGATGCATCGCATCTTTCTAGAATTATCTTCTAAAAGTATGTGATTTGTCATTATGATGTAATTGTCCTTATTGAAATTATTCGGTTAAAAAAAATAGAATGATATTTTTATTATCAAAATATTTTCAATATTTTATATAAAACATTTATGTATTTAATATATTTATATATATTTTCTATGTTTCAGGACAAACATGTTTACACATTGCGGCTTCATCAGATCAAGTAGAACTCGTACGATTTCTAGTACATCGCGGAGCAGATCTCAATGCTAGAGAAGGATTAGCAGGACGAACGGCTCTTCATCTTGCTATGCAATGTAGATGCCGATCTGTGGTTGCGTTCCTCCTTCAAGAATGTAGATTTTCTTTAGATACAAAAACCTATCGTGGAGAGACTGCGTATCAATTAGCTCTACATATTGATAGACAACTTGCAAGGGAATTAGTAAGATTGGGAGCAATACCAGAACCATTTCCTGAGTCAGATTCGAATAGTAGTGATGAAGATGAAAGTTCTGCAATAATTTATATATCTTAGGCATAATTGTTGTGAAACAATAGAAACACTCATTAAATCTTTAACAAACATTTCAATTTTGTTTGTTATACAATC